GCTAATGGGTTCAGCTAGACTGGCTGGCCGTGAATCCCAGGGATCTTTGTATCTCCGCCTCCCCTGCACAGGGACCACAAGCACATACCACCACACCCAGCTTTTTAATACATGGGTTCTGGTGGTTGAACTCAGGTCCTCATGCTTATGAGGCACATTTTACTGACTGAGCCATGTCCCCAGAGCTGATACAATACTTACTATGTACTGAACTGTACCTCTCCATCCATAATCTGTATGTTGACCTCCTAGGCACCAGCACCATAGACTGTAAGGGTGTTCAGAGATAAGGACTTTAAAGGGCTAAGTTAAAATGTGGTCTGTGGAAGGCCTGCTGGGATTGATAGGCCTCTGGGAAGACAGCACAGACCCAGGGAAGTTCACACACAGCAAGGCCATGGTATACCACCAACCTACCAACATTAACCTCCAGATCCATGAGACCATGAGTTTCTGATGTTTAAGCTGCCCAGCCTGTGGTGCTGTCACTGTGCCTAGGGGAACGATTAGTTTCTGCAACAGTAAACCATTATCCAGCTGCAGATGACGACATCCTTATTTATTCTCAGATGATCTGATTCCCCTGAGATATTTGGGAGTGAAGGGCCAGAATGTCTGGGGTTATTCCTCCATGAGTCAGCAATAGTGACATTAGGAACGCAGACAAGGCAAGCACGGCAGAAAAGTGCCAGTAACTGGTAAAGTTACTGAGGGCAGGTGAGGGTTCACCATGCTGCACATGACTCTGGAGCTCATGTCTCCCTCCCTGGCAGGAGCAGTGGCTTCTCCTTCCACAGAGAAGCAAAGCCACTTGCCTGAGGTCACAGTGAGAAAAGGACAAGGCTGGAAGGGAGTGGGTCGTGTGTGTCCCATAGGCACCTAAGAAAGGCAGAAAGAGAAGGTGGGTCCATTAAAGTACAAGCAGTCAGGTGCAGGACCATGAGAGCAGTCAGTCCCACTGTGCAGTGGCCGCAGGGACGCCTCAGCCTACCTCTACCCCAGCCTATCCCGACGTCTTGCAGCAGGAGCGTACCAGAGAGGGGTAAAGAGTCTGCCTTTCCTGTGTGTTGGGGGGTGGTGGTCCCTCAGGGGCCAGCTGGGAGCAGAGCCCAGGAACAGCAGTGCAGCTGACGCATTTGCAGAACCCCTCCCCCAACCCCCTGGGTCTGGTAATGCTCCTCTGCCTCCTAGGGAAAGGCTGGTTCCTTAGGATCCAAAGCTGGCACAGCTGAGCCTCCACCCTCTCAGGCTACCCACAGCCGCCACTCACTGATCCTGTTAGCTGACCGCAACCCTTTCCAGGGATGCCACAGCTTTGCTAGTCCCTTGCTGTTCCCCTCAGGACAGGTGCATCTTCTTCCTTCACTCTCCCCCGAAATCCCACACACTGTGTGCCTCCCCAGCCCAGGCTTCCCTAAGTCTCCCACCCTTTGTCAAGTGGAGCCCTCAGGCATCCCCAGCACTGTCAGTCCTCACCTCCCCATCATTCACAGAGCAGTTTCAAGCTCAGGACAGTACAGCATCTCACAACCCAAGGAATGGAACAGCCTTCTGCTTGTGGCCCCAAAAGTCAATAAAGAGAGGGCATAGGTTTAAGGCTCTCCCTGTGTAGCCCTGGCTGGCCTCGAACTCACAGAGATCTGCCTGCCTCTGCCTCCCAAGCGCTGGATGAAAGGTATGCGCCACCACGCCTGACAAGGCTGGCAGTCTTATGGGGGTTATTATTGGACTAGAGACTGTGACCAGCCCAGGTGACAAGAAGCCTCAAGTCCTGGGCTAAAATATGGAGGTACACACAGAAGAGTGGGAACCTTACTCGAGCTCAGAGTTCAAGACCAACCTGGGCAATATAGCAAGCCCTCTGACTCAAAAAACAAAAAGGTTGGACGCATGGTACTCACAAGTGCCATCCCAGCAATTGTGAAGTAGAGGTTCAAGTCATCCTCAATTACATATGGAGTTTGAGGCCAGCTTGGGCTACATAAGACCCTGTCTTACACTTACACACACACACACACACGCACGCACGCATGCACACCCCAAGTTCAGACCTAGAAACCTCAGCAGTGACTGCGCTGAACTACCACAGGAGATGCAAACTAAAAGCCAGGTGATCCCAGGCTCCGGAAGTCAGACCCTCTCTGGCTGGTGGGATCTGCATCCTGCTTCTATCATGAAATCTTGGGATTCTAGGGGATTTAGAATTCTTTTTCTTTCTGCCCCAGAAAGCAAACCTCCATGTCAGGCAAGCTCTTTACCACAGAGCTAAGTCCCAGCCCTCACCATCTTCTTCAGGAAAGCCTCGATTTTATACAATGTTTGGCAATTGGTTGACCAAGCTCACATAAAATTGTTTTATTCTCTCTCTCTCAGTCCAGAATAGTGGCTCATGCCTATGAGCCCAGCACTTGGGAGGCCAAGGCAGGAGGATCAGGATCCTGTGTAAGGCCAACTTTGGCTACCTGGCAAAGTCTAGGTTGCTCTGGAAGACATGAACCCAGGCTAAAAACAAAAAACACAGAAGAAAATAACTCAAGAGAATCTCTAGTTGTTTCAGTCCTTCACAGCCAACAGAAACTGGGGCCGGCAAGGCACTCAGCTGGTAAGTGCTTGCCACAAAGCCTGAGTGCAATTCCCAGAACTCATGTAAACATGGAAAGAACTGACTCCATGAAACTGTCCACTTCACATGTGTGTGATGGCATGAACACATACAACCCACGCCTTATGCACATACAATAAAAATAAGCTGAATTTCCTGAAATTTCTACATATTGACCTGTTTCTGCTCTCTGCAGCCAAAGAGAATTGCCATCTTTTAAAATTACAAAATCTCCTGCCAGGTGTGGTGGCGCACACCATTAATGCCAGCACTCGGGAGGTGGAGGCAGAGGCAGGCAGATCTCTGTGAGTTCAAGGCCAGCCTGGTCTACATAGTGAGTTCCAGGACAGCTGGGGCTACAGGGAGATCCTGTCTCAAAGACCAAAAAATAAATAACTTAAAAAAATAAAATTACAAAATATTTATTAAACTCTCAACTTATGAAAGATGGAACTCAACTCTTGGCCCCTGTTTACTAACTTCCTAGCCTATTCAATTCAAGAATTGTCACTTTTTTGATGTGTTAAGATCACGTGTAGCCCAGGCTAGCCTCAGACTATGCAGCTGTAGAGAACCCTGACCTTCCGACTCTCATGCTTCTACCTCCCTAGTAATGGAATTACAGGCATGAGGCAATGTTGGAAATTAAAACCCAGGGCCTCATGAAAACTAGGCAAAACTCTACCAACTAGCCACATCTCCAGCCCCCCCATCCCCCCAACAAGCATTTTTTGAATGACTATGATGACCAGGCTGTGCACTATCACTTTGCTGACTTGAAAAGCTACCCAGACACAGATAGCCCCATGAGCACTCCACTTGGCGCCACAAAAGAGCCAGCACCCACTCCAACTCCCAAGTCAAACTAAAGCATTAGACTCATATTTGAACTAGAAAAACCAGAAACAAAACCCTGTCTCATCCTCAAAAAGGCTCAAAAGAACTCGGGAGGGGCTGCAGTCCCTCTACCCAGCCATGTCAGATTCCCAGCTGCCACTGCAAAAGCTTTACTTTTGCTAGGTAAGAATCAATTCCACCTCCACACCCCAGAGAGTGGGTATCACCTGGTGCTCTAGGTTCAAAGAGGGTGGGCAAGGGGCATCTCTCTCCAGAAATGCCTCCTGACCTTCGGACGCTTTCCTTGGTGGTGTCCAGTATCCCTGGGGGCTGTGGGGATGGTCCCAGAAATTAAAGGGCCACCTCTGAGCCTAGGAAAGTTGTAAATTTAAGCCCCTGGGTTTATGTAACAGTTCCCAAGGAGCCTTGCACTCAGAGCTATCCATCCAGTGCCATACACATCTGAGTGTGGCTGAACCAGTCCCCAGAGGGGGCAAGACTTTGAGACTATGCCAAAACCAAAAGGCTGCTTCAAGAAGTCCTGAGTCCATTATTTGTCCCAGTCCAAAGACGACAGTCTCAAACGAAAACTGTTCCGGAGAAAAGGAGTAACAGACATGCCCCCTCCCAGTTGTAGGAAAGTCTTCCAGAAAAAAAAAAAAAAAGGTTCCAGCAGCCCCTCCCCCAGCCCAGAAGCTGGAAACGTCAGCAGCTGCAGCAGCAAGGACCCACAAAGGGTAGACCGTGCCAGGGAAGGTGCAAACCCCATGGTGGGGCGAACTCTGCCCCCACCCCAGCTCCACCTCCCGGCCGTGGAACTTGGCTGAGCTGCGGCACCTTCAGAGTTCTGAAAGGAGACACTACTGCATCTTCTTCGTGGGATTAGCTGGGAGAATTCATGGAGAGAACGCTTAGCCCAGGGCCTGACACACACACAGTGGAGTTAGGTTCGAAGCGCCTGGCTCCAGAGGAAAGCATCAGCCTCCACTGAGAAGCAAACAAATAAATTAGGAGTCCCTAAAAGTCCCAACCGAGCCACTGTGCACACAATGACGAGGGCTTTTAACATTCACTGCCCTGGCAGCATCCCCGAGGTGGAAGGTGCGGAGGGCGGGGCCGCGGTCCTCCAGGCCGAGGCGTGCAAGGAGGCACCTGGAGGGGCATCCCCCGACCTCGCACCCTCCGAGCAGAGCCGAGGGCTGCAGGCCCCGCCCGGTGCGGGCGCGCGCCTGGGCCCGAATTCACCCCGCCAAGAGGCGCTAGGCTTTTGAGTCTAAGGGAAATAAATAGATGCACGTCGGGACCCCGGAGCCCGAGTGGCCCCGCGCCGACTTTCCGAGATGAGGCCTGCGGCCGAGAAGACAGGGCCGCCGAGGGCTCGGGGCGGGCGCAGGGGCCGGCCGAGGTCCGGGGAGAGGGCCGGCGACCCATGCGCCGCTGCCCTGGTCCCGTTGGTCGGCGGCCCCGCACAGTCACGCCTCGCCCTCCCGCTGCGGCCCTTGGCTCTCCCCGAAGGCCTGGCCCCCAGCCCTTCAAGCAGCCGGCGGCAGCCAGAACTCACCTGCCGTCGCCACCGCGCCGCCGCCTGTCAGTCAAGCTCGTCCTCCGCCGCTCTGCGCAGGGTCTTGGGGCCTCACCGGCCTCGCCCCACCTCCTTTCCTCCAGCCGTCCAATCCGGAGAGGGCGACACCAGGCGGTGGGCGCGGCCACAGGGCGGTGCGTATCAGGTGGCGGGATGATACGTGATGGGGGCGTAGCCATGCGAGTGTTGGGAGCCCGTGCTGGCGGGCGTGCTGGGGGTTTGGGGGCGTGGCTCTGAGGCCGTGCGTGCCCGTGCGTAGCGGGGGATGGGGGACGTGGCCGCGCCGCTGGCGCGTCGTCGATGGCATGGTCCTGCTCGGAGCTTGCTGGTGCGTGACGGGAGTATAGGACGCTTATACGCGCTGCTGGAGCGCGACCGTGCGTGCTGGAGGCGTGGCAATGAGGGCGGTGCGTAGTGGGGGATATGGGGGCGTGGCTGTACGGGATGGGGCGTGGCTATGAGGGCGGTGCGTGCGGAGGTATGGGTGTGGCTATGGGGCGTGCGTGATTGGGCGTGGCCATGCGGGGGGCGGGCAGGGCCGGGCCAGGCGGGTCGAGCGAATCCGGCGCTCTGACAACTGTGTTACGCGCCGGAAAGGGAAGGAGGTTCTCTGCCCTGCGCAGCCGGGTGTGAAGCAGAGCGACTCCTGGACCGCAGGGCTGACACCGCTATGCGGGTCACCGGGAAGACCTTTCGCCGGCGCCGGGCTGACTCGGAGTCTGAGGAGGATGAGCAGGATTCGGAGGAGGTTCGGTGAGTGTGGGCCGGTGTTACCACAGGCCAGAAAGTGAGAGGCTTGGGGGGTGCTGACCACCGGCCGGGCGCCTCGCTGACACCATTAACGGGGAGCCGGGGTTGCCCTTTCTTCGGCGAGGACACGGGGGCTCCTGCGAGCAAGGCCGCCGTCCCCTGGCTGTGCAACGGGGCGAGGTGTCCCGGGGTCGCACGGACCAGAGTGCGGTACGGTTGGGTCGGAACCGTGCGACTGCGGAGGATCTCAGTCTGTGCCATTCATTGCCTGTTAATTATTTTTCCAGGTTAAAGCTGGAAGAAACCCGAGAGGTGCAGAACTTGAGGAAGAGGCCAAACGGGGTGAGGTGGGTACCACGGGGATGGGGGCGGCGTCAATGATGACAGACTCGTCCCAGCTAGGGGCACAGTCCCAAACCCCTCCCCAAAGAGAGGACGAGTGTCCTATACAAGTGTTTAACCAGGACTTGTCCTGAGCCTGGTGGTCTTGGGGTCTGCTCCAGGTCACTAACTCGTGTGTTTTTTAAAAAATCTTATTTATTTTTATTTTATGTGTTTGAGTGTATTGCCTGCATGTTGTGTAAGTGCACCCGTGTCGTGCAATACCCACGGAAGTCAGAGAGCATCGGGTTCCCTTAGAACTGGAGTTACAGATAGTTGTTACTCTCCCTGTGGGTGCTGGAATTGAACTCAGATCCTCTGCAAGAACCGGCAGTGCTCTTAACCACTGAGCCGCCTCTCTAGTCCCCTAACTCATTTGCATCAATGAATTGTGACAGTTAACATGTTGACTGCTAAGAGTTTGGATATCTTACAGAAATATAATCCAGAAATAAACAGTAAGCTAATGTGGTGATGCATGCCTGTAATCCTAGCACTGAGGAGGTAGAAGCAAGGGGATCAGTGAGTTTGAGGCCATCTTAAGTTACATAGGAAAACCTTATCTCAAAAAAAAAACAAACAAACCCAGAGAATAAATGAGACTCTTTCCATTGCAGAGGCAATCATTGTTAGCATTACTGTTCTTCCCCCCTTTTTTTTTAAAGACTATAATCAACCTTTTTTTTTTTTTTTGTCTTTTTGAGACAGGGTCTCCCTGTAGCCCCAGCTGGCCTGGAACTCATTATGTAGATCTACTTGCTTGTGCCTCCTGAGTGCTGGTATTAAAGGTGTCTGCCACCACACCCAGCCTTTTTTAAATTTTTTTGTCTTTTTGTGTTAACTAATTTATATATACATTTATTCCCTGCTTTTAAGAATTAACCCATTATGATATTGGGCATTTGACCATATTGTGTTTTCCAGAAAACCTTTTTAGTGACTACATAGTATTGTACCAAGCGTAAGTAGTATAATTTTTTAACGGATCTTCAGGCTGGGCATGGTTGTTCACACCTATAATTCCAGACTTGAGAAACTGAAACAGGAGGATTGCCATGCATTTGAGGCCAGCCTGGGCTACACAGTGAATTTCAGACCAGCCTGAGGTACAGACAAAAACCCTGTCTCAACAGCAACAACGAACACCAGAGCTGGTGGCAGAAGGCTATAATCGCAGCTACTCGGGAGGCTAAACTACACGTTTAAGGCCTGCATGGGCCATACAGAGTTCAAATCAGCCTGGGCAACTTAACAAGGCCCTGCTTCAGAAAGCAAAAAGGACTGTTGCCATATTGGGCAGTGGTAGTATGCTTGCCTAGCATGTGTGAGGCCCTGGCTTTATTGCCTCTGTAGGTCATTTTGTAAACTTCTACCACTCCCTGACATTTATCTTCTATGGTACTTCCTTAACTGGCAAAATCTTACATTGGGATATCTAGGCCAAGATGATATCAAATGGCTAAGCCTCGCCCTCCTGTCCACCGTGCTCAGCATGGTGTAGGTTCTATGGCTCTTTCCTGTCCGTCTTCAGTGGAGCCCACCCTTCCATGTTGCAGCCTACACACTTCTGGTTTTCCTCTGTCATTTCTCTTCATTTATGTTTTGCTCAGTGCTGCTGCGCTGCTGGTGGGAGAGAAAGTACAAGAGGAGACTACGCTAGTGGTGAGTGTCGGGTCCTCCCTGTGGCTGCTCTTCTGTGTGTGAGTTTATATATATATATGTATTTTATACAGGATCTCTCTGTCGCCCTAGCTGGCCTGGGACTTGTTACATAGACCAGGCTAGCTTCCAACTCACAGAGATGTGCTGCTTCTCCCTTTCCAGTGCTGGGATCAAAGGCATGAACCATCACACCCAATTCTGTGATCATGTTTCATGAAGATAAACTCACAGGCCTGGAGAATGGCCCAGTCAGTGGAGTGCTTGAAATGCAGGCACAAGGACCTGAATTTGGATCCCTGGCACTGATGTAAAAACCTGGGAGTGGTGGCATATGCTGGGAAGGCAGAGACAGGACATCTGGCTGAATCAGCAAGCTCCTGCTTAGTTAGAGACCCTGTCTCAAATGCAAGACAAAGGGCTGTGGGTAAAGAGTTTGCTGCTCAAGCATGAGAACCTGAGTCCAGACCCCCAGCACCCACATAAAAGCCACAGTGATGGCACACATGTATAACCCCAGCCCTGGGAGCGGGTGGTGCGTGAACACAGGTGGATCTCTGGAATAGAGTGGCCAGCCAGTCCATCAAAATCAGTGAGCCCTTGGGTCATTGAAAGACCCCATCTCAGAATTAAGGTGGAGGGGGCTGGAAAGATGGCTCAGCAGTTAAGAACACTTGCTGTTCTTGGGAGCTTGTATCTAATCCTTAAAAGATTTTAGGGTTCCTTCTTCAAAAGGGGGAATGTTGGCGTAGCCACAAGCCCCATTAAAATAAATAGCCGGGCGAGGTGGCGCACGCCTGTAGTCTCAGCACTTGGGAGGCAGAGGCAGGCGATCTCTCTGAGTTCAAGGCCAGCCTGGTCTACATAGTGAGTTCCAGGACAGCTGGGGCTACAGGGAGACCCTGTCTCAAAAAGACAAAATAAATAAACAAAATAAAAATAAATAAGAAGAAGGGGGGAAAAAAGAACACTTGCTGTTCCTGCAAAAGACTCAGGTTTGATTCCCAGCACCCATATTGGGCAGCTCAGCCCCCTGTATTTCCAATTCCAGGGTCTATGATGTCCCCTTCCAGTCTCAGGCACCTGCATACACATGTACATATATAGACTCAGCCCCCCCCCACACACACATATAAAATGTAAAGGTGGAGAAGGGTTGAGGAAGACACCCAGTGTTGACTCCTGACCTCCACACTCACTTACACATGTGCGCATGCACCTGCACACACGGAGATAATCACAACAACTGCTGCTGTTCTAGATGCGTCCTCTAAGCTGTGTTTGCTTTTTGCAGGATGATCCCTTTCAAATGAAGACGGGTGGCATGGTGGACATGAAGAAGCTGAAGGAAAGGGGCAAAGATAAGTAAGTGGAGAGCGCATACACACACACACACGCACACATGAACTTAAATATTACAGAAGTCTTCAGTCATTCCCTGAGCATTAGCAGAGGCCCCCAGTTGCTTGCACAGGTCTCTAGGGTTTCTTTTATTTCCACCCCATGCCATGTCATGTTTTTTCCCAGCCATTAGCAGGATAGTGGTCTTCCTGCT